TGGGGAGGGCTAAAGTATACAATCTGGGGAAGGCTAGGAAGAGAAGGCTTGACCCATGCTGGGTAAAGGCTTTCCAGTGTGCATACACTCAGGCCATTCACACACTTCAGGAACCCCTGTTATCTTGGTAAGTAAGCTCATAAAATTCATTTGTTCCCCAGTAAAACTTTTATTGAACATTGATTTGACACTAGAACCTTTAAATGGAATAAGCATTGTTTAGTATCCCCGGGAAAAGAACTCTCACAACAGATGGAAAATTTATTTTTTAATGTTATTATGTCTAGTAATTATTAAAAAAAGAAAACGAGAGTGTAAAAGATGTTAAAAGGATATGGGAATGGAGATATTTTCCAAAATATAAACAATGAGAAAGCCTAAGCAGTGAGGAAGATCTGTGTAGGTTTGTTATGATGTATAAAGGCTGAGACCAAAATAATATACACATAATCCTAAAATTTCTAAGGTCATAGTTTAGTCAACTAGTTTAAGGAACAAAATATTTATCTAGTCAAGGTTTATCTGAGGACATTTGGTTTTTTACCCAAGCTTTATCTACATAGCACATGGTGATTAAAATCACCAGACTGGTGGAACTAACCTTATTGGATGTCTAACAGACATACTTTGAGGCCTATACTAATCTGGTCAGAGGGACATAAAGGACAGTTTTCGCTCCTTGCCTTCCTGGGTCGACTAGTTCCATGGCCTATGAGCATCTCTCTCAAAATGTCCTGTAATGGTGGTGGGTCACCTGTCCTCTTGATCAAGGAGGCCGAGGAGACCCCACCAGATGGACTTGAACCAGTGTCCGGTCTACAAAGAGGAGGGTCAACACAGAGGAATCACTTCCTCCATGTTTCCAAGCAAAGCCAACCATGGTCGAGCAGGACCTTTGACTTATCCTCACATAGGCAGAACCGGTAAAAGAAAGGAGCCAGGTGCTCCTCCCAAGCCCATGTGACCCCCTGAGGAACAGGCCCTCAAACGACCTAAGAGTAAAAATAAATTGGTTTAGCAGGGCCAACTGTATGGCCTTAAACATCCAAAAGGAAAGTATAACCAAATATTAAAGGGACCAATATAATTTCTTAAGAGTCCATATGCATATCCTCCCAAGCCCACATGACCCCTGAGGAACAGATCCTCAAATGACCTTAAGTGTAAAAAGAAATTGATTTATTTGGGTCAATTTTATGGTCTTAAACACCTCAAAGGAAAGTATAACCAAAGATTAAAGTGATCAGTATATTTCTTTAAGAGTTCAAGAGATTACACTTCTTAGACATTAGGCTTAAGTCCATATAAAAAGTTATTTAGGGGCTGGAGAGATGCCTCAGTGGTTAAGAGCACTGACTGCTCTTGCAGAGGACCTGGGTTCGATTCCCAGAACCCACATGGCAGCTGCAATTCATCCTTAACTTCAGTTCCCGGGGAATCTGAAGCCCTCTTCTGACCTCCGCGGCATTGTACAACATGGGTGCACTCACATACATGCAGGCAATACACCCATACATATAAAATAAAAACAATAAATAAAATATAAAAAGTTATTTAGACAATTATTTCTCATATTTCTCATATTTTTGTTCTGAATCAGAAAGTGCTGCTCAGATATAAGACTTCAAATCTTGGTTTCCAATACTGTAGTGCCCACCTGTAGCTAAGGGAGACAACCCACTATTCTAAAATGATGGCCAAATTTGTTTCCTCCCCCATCTAGAAGGCTTTGTGAGGGAACTAATACTGATTCTAAGAACTCCAAAAGCTATCCAAATGCCTGAAAGCAAATCCTGAATCCATCACTCTCTTGTCTAGCCTTAGCAGACAAAAGAAAAATGAGGAGGAACCCAATTATCCTAGTTTATTCTTCATTGCTGTGACAAAACACTCTGACCACTACCAACTTGGGGAGGAAAGGGTTTGTCTTACATCACCCAGGTCACAGTTCATCAGGGAGCCCAAGGTAGGAACTCGGGGCAGGAACCTGGAGGCAGGAGCTGGAACATAGGCTGGAGCCATGGAGGATCACTGCTTACTGGCTTGCTCCCCTGGCCCCGGCTCAGCCTGCTTTCTTATACAACACAGGCCCACCTGCCCAGGGGTGGCACCACCCACAGTGGTCTGGGCCCTCCCATGTCACTCATCAAACAGGTGCCCCATGGACATGGCCGCAGGCCAGTCCAATGAAGGCAATTTCCCAATTGAGGCTCCCTCAACCCAGGTGTGTCAAGTTGACACTAAAGCTATCCAGCACAGTATCTAATGGAAACTAAATACTTTCTTTTGGGGTCAGAAACTTTCAAAACAATGAAAGTTTCATTTATGCCTTTGGCTTCCCATCAGCTGTGGGTCATATGGCTTTAAAGAACAACATTCTGCTTACTTTCTTCTGGAAGGTCTAAATCCCTCCTCTGGCTCTTCTGCTTTCTCCCCATGGTCTTCAGCAGGCTGAGACAGAAATGAGGGGTGGAGAATTTGGGAGTCTTTTAGATAGACCTACTGAAGGGGTACCCCAATTGCCTCACTCTGTTTCCCTGTTCAGCATGGAAGAAGGCAGGGCAGCCTGCATCCCGATTCCCTTTCCACAAGCTGGGTAACCTCTTCAGAGGATGGCATGATAAGAATAGGAGGTAGGAACTGGAGAGGCAGTTAGTATAAAAAGACCCCAAAGAAAATTAGCCAGCTTCTTGGCTCAAAGTCAAAATGTCCTTGGGCCCCTTAGCAACATACTGTGTTCCAAAGGCCAAAAATGTTGAAATATTTGGGAACTCAGCTCTAATTCTTAAAAGATTTTAGGGTTACCTCTTCAGAGGGGGAATGTTAGAGTAGCAAAAAGCCCCATTAAAAAAAAGAAGAAAGAGTACATGAAGTTATCAGAAAAAAAGTGATGGGAGATATGGGAGGAGTTGGAAGGGAGGGAGTGGGCATGGATTTGATCAAAATACCTTATATGCTTATATCCCTGTATGAAATTCTCAATAAATTATTAAAAAGTAAAGACATGTATCCTCCATTACAGTGTCCTACAGAGTAGTTTCATTGATGCAAAGATCATTAGTGCTCTGCTTAACCTATGTTCTGCCTATCTACCCCCCGTGCCAACCACTGATCTCTACTGTCTACACAGCAGGATAGCCCCTATTTGGAAACATCCAGCATACAGCCTTTCCTGCAGGTTGATTTCACTTAGTAACATGTACTTAACTCCTCCATGTCTTTTCATGGCTTGATGGCTCATTTCTTTCAGTGCTAAATAGTAATGTGATTGCCTGGGTATACTATGGTCCATACACTCTCACTGAAGGACAGCTTTTGCTTCTAAGGTTTGGCAGTCATGAATAAAGCTGCTATAAACAACCATGTGCAGTTTTTTCTCAGTGCTGGGAATCTAACCCAGGGCCTCCCACATGTTAAGCAAGCACTCTACCATTGAGCCATATTCTTAGCTCCATGGAAGGTTTTTCTGTGACATAGTTCTTCAACTCTTTGGGGCTGATTGCTAGGCCTAAAGTAAGAGTGTTTAGCTCTGTAAGAAGCCGATAAACTGTCTTCTCAAGTGACTGTACCATTTTACACTCCCACTGGCAGTGAATGTGAGTTCCCGTCTCTCACATCCCCAACAGCATTTGGTGGTGTCAGTGTTCTGGATTTTGGCCAATCTAATATCACTGTAAATGATTTTTAGATTGCCGAGAAATTTCTTTTCCTTTGTGACTCTGAGCTGAACTGTGGGCTCAGTGTGGGTCAGTTAGAGGATTCTGGGATTCTCAATCTATGGCCAACATATAGACAGGTCTATGCCAAAGCAGGAATGTGGGCTGTGTTGGACAGTGTGCTGTTCCCTTCAGAATCTGTCAGGCTGATTCCCTTATTCTCCTGAATGGAGAAGGCCAGATTCATCCAGTTCCTAAGCTGCCTTCTTCAGGGTAGTTATCCTCAAAGCTGGGTGACAATGGTTTGCCCAAGGGTAGACTGGCGGAGTGTCCTAACATCAGGACAGATTAAATAAAGAATGCAAAAGTAGGGTGAGCTCTTTCTCTGTCCAGTCCTGCCTTCCTCTCTTTTCACAGTGAACCTGGAGATCATGCCTCCATGAACTTCAGCATACTCTTGTTTGCCCATGACTCTGTGTTGAAGGAACTAGTACCAGATATTAGGTGACAGTGATCTTCTAGCATCTTCTGGGAGGCTACTGCCTCAGTGCCCTAAGTAGCAGACCTGTTGAAGGGGAAGAGGGATTTGGTCTTCTCAAACATGGTCCTATGTGAAAACAGTGTCACAGTTATACCTGCTTGTTAAGAGTAAGATATGTATTAGGAACCTAGGCGAACAGAAGGCCAAAGGAATTCAAAGAAACATTTTAGTGACAAGGTTTTCCTGTGCTTATTGGTAGATGTGGCCTCATGAAATGTGAAAGGTCTCAGAGTGAACATATTTTGTTTCTGTCATTTACAGTTGACATGACCTTGACCCTGTGGCATGACTTCTGTTCTTATCTGTATACCTCTCAGGATCCAGAGAGCCTACTATGTTCTAACTCCCACATATCATCGGGGGGTACTGTCTTCTTCGCTCCCTTCTATCCATGTCACAGGATTTGGCTTCACTTTTTATTTCAAGGTTTATTTATTTTTATTTTATGTGTATGAGTATTTGCATGTATGTATGCATACCATTGTATGTGCCTGGTGCCCAGTGGGGCTGGCAGGGGCATCAGATTCCCTGATATTGGAATTATAGATGGTTGGGAGCCACCATGTGGGTGCTGAGAACCAAACTCAGGTCCTCATCAAGAGCAGCCAGTGCTCTTAACAGCTGAGCCATCTCTCCAGCCTCATTGGCTTCACTTCTAATACAGAACATGATGTCCCAGAGCCACCCCAGAGGGGTATCCTTGCCCTGGGATCCTGATAGGACTGGGGTTGTACACACACTTCTATTAAGAAGCCAGCAGAAGGCTTCCTGGCTGATCTCTTAGCTGTGCATTCTCTTCCTAGCAGATGGAGAGTAAGGCGTATTTCCAAGTTGAAGATTACATCCCAGCGAGGCTGATTGAGAGAATGACAGCGCTCCGGGTCCAAGTCGAAGTCTCAGAGATGCACCGGCTCAGTTCTGCACCACAGGGAGAGGATGCTGAGCTAGAGTTCTTGGGGGTGAGGTCTTTGGGACCTTGGGAGCAGTATTGGGGCTCAGGGAATGTCATCAGCGGTCGCTCTGGAGGCATCGCTGCAGGAAGGTGCAGGCCAGGGCTCAAGCCACAAAAAGAAGGGGCCTCCATCATCCTGAACATCAGGGAGAGGCTTCTAGCAGGTGGCATTAGAACTGACCCCCTTGAAGGGATAGGCTCTAGTGAGCTAGGCTGGGTGCCACAGGGCCTTCAACCTTAGAGCCAGATCTCTGGCACTTTTCTGTAACCAGGAGACCCCATTTCCCACAGATGACACAGAGGATAACTGACATACGGAACCGGGATATGAACTAGGCAGAGCCACCGGAAGATTCTAGTGTGTAGCCTTCCAGACAGCGGTTCTCAGCACAGCTGTATAGGGGCACAGGTCTGTTCTGTTCTCTCCTTTCCACCCCCTAAAGCAGGGACATTTCAATCTCACACAGTGGAGAATACCCACCATCATGAGTACTCTGCTTTCTCCACTGCCTCCCCCCACTGTGGGCCAGGTGCTGGGGGACTGGAGACAAGAAGCCTGTGTTCCCTGTCCTCGGTGGGTCCTGGGTCTCAGGATGATGACTGTATCTAAAAGCAGGCACGTTGTGATAAATGCTCCGAGAGAACATAGATGATGCCAGTGACTCTGGTGGGGCCAGGCAAGAAGGCCTGGCCTCTTTTCCTTGCAGGTGCATGTGGTGTATGTGTGTATGAATGGGGAGCCTGGATCTTCCAGGACAGGCTTGTGTACCTGGGCCTTCAGATTTGGGAAGCAGCTCAGAAAAGAAGCATGAGGATCTGCACATTTCTCTGTACCTAAGCTTCCTAACTTGGGTAGAAATATTCTGTGTATGTTTTCTTGCTTTAATGGAGATGGGTGCTTGGAAGCAGAACCAGCAAAGTGAGGCCTGGTCCTTTCTTTTTGTCCAGTTGCTTAATAGAACTGTCCAGACACCTAACACTGGGGCAGCCTGCAAGTGTTTCATTGGCAGAGTCCCAGAAGAAATACTCACTGCATTCTGTAGTCTACCCACACACATGGCTCCTATCAAGAGTGTTCCTTTAACAAGGGACATGTGAAGGACCTCAAAGCCACATGGTGATGAGTTGGCCAGAGCTAGAGAACTGAGCTGAGACCAAGGTCTTTGCCTTGCAGACCACTTCTGCAGAATGGACGCTGCCTGTAGCCTCTCCTAAGCCCAGCTGTCTATGCTGGGCTCTGCCTGGGTTCCTCCTCCCACTGAAAAATGACTGTAAAAATAGTTACCATCATGGAAACAGGACAGAGGTCTCTTTTCTCCCAATCTTTCACAAAAAGCATTGGACAGATTCATTTCATTTACATGCAACCTTCATTCATATTAAGAAATACTCTTGTTTCCATATCTCCCTCTGATGGCTTTAATGGGGTGGTTAATGCTGTAGGATGCTTGTCCTTGGTACAGAGGGATGAATGGAGAGGGCTTTGCCGCCCTCAGAGCATACAACAGGAGCATCTGAGTCATAGTGTGAGTTTGTGCAAGTCTTTTCCCTCCCCATCTATGAAAGTAAACATTTCTTGACATTCTGCCCCAGAGGGTGAACACACTTATCTTTTGGTATATTTACCCCCCCCCTCTCTCTCTCTCTCTCTCTCTCTC